CTGTAGTGTTTGAGTCCTCTTGACAGTGATCGTTGTTGTAATTTCCATCATTTTTCACGTCTTTCATAGGCGCATCAGTAAGGAATAACACAGGATGAACAATATCTACATTATGTGGCTTATGATGCTTAATAAAAAGCTCTAAGGTGTTTGTATTTTCCAACAAATAATACATTTCTCTAATATCATCATCATTCACCAACACTCTTAACTCTAAGACCAAATTTTTGTTGGGAATCTTATAGAAAATATGCTTGTAATAAAAAACATCCAACTCCTTCAACATGCAGCTAATCTCTGGGATAGATAATTTATCAACATCAACTGCGTCAAATACATCCACATTACCCCCAACATAACTCTTTTCATCATTCTCAATAAAATAGTCACTGTGGTGTATCAGAACTTTAACAAAAGTTATCATTACTGCATCCATACATAAACAAAACAATAATGACAATAACTATGGATCTACTTACAAAACAAAGCATATTAAAAAAACAAAACTCTCATATGAAGCAACTTGGCCCACAATTCTCAATCTATATATGGAGACAAAATATGACAGAAAAGTAGACATAGAAGACCATACAAAAATAATGGAGACCCTGAGACCGCAATGTATTTAGTGATACAAAGGCATGCATACAGTCGGAGACAAAAACAATGTCACAAAGCAATAAACAATAAGTGTGCACCGACAATGGAGAGAAAAACAATATCATAAACGAATAATAAAAAAAGAAGGTCAACAATGGAGAAAACCCGTATAAAACAACCAAAAACGAACCTATTTCTTACCTCTGTCTTAGAGTCCAAAGCCTTTTGGAAAATCAACTATAAAATTGCTGTCTTCCTTCGATGCGTGGCTTCAATCGCGGGTTGAATCATCAGGTGGATTTCATGGAGTTGTAAATCGCAATGGAGGGGTGTCTTTTGCCCTAAATTGTGAAAATTAGAGCAATTTTGGCGCCTAAACCAGTCTTCTGTTAACTAATAGAGACGGAGATGGACGGGGGGACTGAATTGCAACACGGGTGGAATGGTGGGGTACAAATTTTCACAATTTGAAACTTGGGTTTAATTTGAAAAAGGCGCTAAACCCTGGGGTTTTTTTGTGTAATTTTCTCTTTATTTTATAATCTCACATCAAGAAAAAAAGAAAAAAGTGAATTGTTTCACTTACATAAAGTAAATCTTATACTCCCATTTATATAAGCAAAATGAGATTTTAGTGAGAAGCCTTATAATCAATATCTCAAACTAATTTTTTCAATTTTCTTAATTTTAAACAATTAAGAAAATTCCCGAATGACTAGCTTTCATTTAACTTTTATTTTACAATTTCACATAGAGGTTTTGATTTTAAAAATAATTTTGTATGAGATTTTGAAACTCTCATAATATCTTTCATGAAAAGTATTCTTTTATAAAATATATAGATATATTGAAAATCTCAATGTCACTCTTACTGCTCCTTAATACAAAAATTATAAGATAATTATGATAATTTTAAATTTGTATTTAAAACTTATAAATTATGAGATAAATTATTATAATTTTAAATTTATATTGTGTTGGTTTTAAATTTAAATTAATAGATTACTTTCCATATTTAGTGACAGTTTAAATTTTAATAAAATAAAATTAAAAAGTTTTAATTAATTAATTTTGTGTAAACTGGTTGGTCGTTTGACCTAACTGATTAAGTTAAACCATTTTTAATTTGAATGATTTGTTGTTTTAAGTGCGATTTTAGCGGTTTTACATGTCACGATAATTCTTTCTTACTCATTAAGTTTTTAAAATTTCTTTAATTATTTCCCTTTCAAAAACCAATATGATACTTTTTAAAATTCATTTATTTTTATTCTAAAATAGTGAAGTATTAGAATTATGTCATTTTTTTTATAACAAAGCATAATTTTAATTATTAATTATCAATACAACAATTTTAATCTATCTATTCTGTATATTATAGTAAAAGAACATTCAAAAGAAAACTCTTGAACTTATATATAAAATTTTATTTATGTGAGATAAAATATAAAAAAATTAAACATAATTATCATATTTTTAATAAATAATATATCATTTTATCCTATGTATAGCACGGGTGATATATTAATACTTTAGTAATGAAAAGTATAATTAACTCAAAAAATAATTACTTGGAGGATGAAAATCACATATGATTGAGTTTGAATCAAACATCTCTCTAGCGCTTTAATTGAACTGAAGGGTTCAATTGGGGATTGCAAACCCACTTTGATATTTTGAATGGATTATTTCTTAAAGTCGTTGTAACAGATTAATATCAATGTAAAAATCAAATCAAATGGATTGGACTATAGTCCAATTAGGGATCTATGATTTTATTTTACGTTTAGTTTGTTTGAGCATAAAATATTTTTAAAAAATATTTTTTGATATTTAGTATAATAGAAAATGAAAGTCAATAGAAAATATTTTTTATAATCAATAAAAAACAAGTTTATATAGGCAGAAAATATTTTTCACTTTTGAAAGGTAAAAAATATTTTGCCGTCTAAAGTCTTACCAATGTCATCACACTACCACCACCATTCTCACCTCCACCACCACGCCACCATCACGACGGCCACTACCACTATCACCGTTGCTATCGTCACCGCCGCCATCCAACGTCCATGCCACCAACTTCACCTCCGCATTCATTTCACCACAACCACCACCACCAAACATTGAAAAATATTTTCTATTTGAAAATGTTTTCTGTCCAAACAAACAGAGCGTTAAAATTTAATTTATTCATTTTGTAGTCTTTTCACTTGATTATTAATGTAAAAATGAAATTAATTAGATATTGATAATTACGGTCTCTCATGTGGCAATTGGCCTAGTGGTTTATCTAATTATCCCTTAGAACTATGAGAAAATTAGAAGTTTAGGATTTGAGTCGATGGAATGATTAACACTCGATCTTTGTCGTAATCTAACTTACTAACTCCTAATATTCTATCGTGGGGAAAAAAAAAAAAAATACTGTAGTCTCTCAATTGGCCCTCAAGTAGACCCACAAGGCCAAATCTCTTTCTATTAATTAAGAAAAATACTTAAAACACTAATTGAGCTCCCCAATTCATTTATAATAATATAAAATAGACCACGTAAAGGGTTGAGTCCACACTTTTCATTCCTTCTCTCTCTATTCTCGCTCATCGTATTAAGGATGAAAATGGTAGTGACAGATTGAGTGATGTGGCATAGTTGATATAATTAATGTGTAAATTTCCTAAATAGTCAAGACCAGCGTCTCCTCCGCTCAAGTGGGTAACACATGCATTTTCTCTTTAAGTCTACCTTTCAATGATTAATTCGATGAAAAAAAATTTAAGGACTCTTTTCTCAGAAAATCTCTCCGTAAATGATAACACTTTTGATCCTCAAAACCTTTTGTCCCATCATTCAATTATACTCCAACTTATGTCTCCAATAATGTGGATTTGTCCCTTTTTTCACTTTCATTATATCCCTCCTTTGCATCTTTATATTTAAACTTTACACAAAAAAAGTGAAAATTTCCCATCAATTGTGAACTAACCTCCAAAAACGTTACTGTTTAATGCTTTATTTTCATCTGTTTATTTGCCTATCAAGTGAGTAATTCCAGCCTGGCTGCATGTGATTATTTTGTTTTTATTTTTATTTTTTTAAAAAATGGTCATATGTGCCCTTATTTTTGAATGGACACATCGCACGTGACAGTCTCAAGAAGTTAGAACTTGTTTAATTTGTGTTTTTTTATTTTTTATTATTTGCTTTGGAAATAATAAAAACAATGAAAAATTCAAGAACATTCAATGTTTTTATATGGTTTTTATTTTTGAAATAAGACAGTTTTCGAAAATAACTTTTTGATATTTTTTAAAAACAAAAACACAACCAAAAGAATTTGGAAAATGAATTGAGAATACCTACGATGGTTGATTTACAGATGATTTGGCATGATTCATCAATCTCAACATCAAAATTGATTGTCCATGCACTACACAACCAAACCACAAGGAGATGCATAAAAGTCTACAATTTTATGATGAAAATTCACATAAATTGTTGTCTAGATCAAGGAATTGGCTAACCCACCCTTGAGTAAAAGAACTCTCATTTGAAAAATCAAAGAAATCAGCATGATCAAAGTTGACTTTTGAGTCCTCACCACCATTAGAGGTCTCCTCTCCTTTCACCTCCTCATTAGCCTTCTCTATTACCCTTCTTCTCTTTGTCTTCGAGTCTAATTCTCCTCTTGATCCTTCATTTTGTTTCTTCATTTGATTTATTTTCTTGCTCAAATGAGAATTTTCGTAGCTCTTGATTACATTATCTGTTCGACTTGGTAGTCTTCTCACAATCTAAGACGATCTAGAAAAAAAAAGAAGGAAAATAGATAAATAACTAAATAAATAAATCATATGCACTAGACTACGAAAATCAACTTAAAATGTTATTCAATCAGAATTTTTTTATTTTGAAAATATCCACACAAAAATGTTATTTAATGTAATTATATTGAAAATATAAAATTGACTGCATTTTTAAAAACTTCATAAAAGTGAATATTATTTACATTTCATATAGGGTAAATTACAAATATACCCTCTGAGATTTGCATATGATATGAATTGCCTCTGTAGTTTTAGAATTATGATTTGAGTGTGGAGTTGTGTTTTGAGTTTTGAGTTTTTGAATCATGATTTGAAAATAGTTTTAGGATGATTTGTAATTTTTTTTTTGATTGATTGATGTATAGAATGTGAGAGAATGTGAGAGGAGAGCGGAGAGATAATTGAGAAAAAGTGATTGATTAGTTAATTAATAATAATTAAAAAAGAAAAAGAAGAAAGGAGTTTTGAGAATAATTTAAAGTTTCATTTTAAAAATATGTTTTTATTTAACATATTACATTCAGATCATAATTTAAAAATAAAGTTGTATTTTGAAAATCAAATCAAACACTGCCAAACTTTTTTTCATCTCATTCCAAACGGGCACCAAGGAACATTAGACAAGACTTACATAAGAATATCATTTACATATTTTTCACTAGAGACTAGAGTTGGTGAAAATAGAAAGCTTGGTCTAAGCCACCGCTCCAAAGCTTACAAATTCGCATCAGAAAAAAAAAAAACCCGAATTGCTTTTCATTCTTCTGTGATTTTCTGAGACAGAATGTCTTGCTCAAGCGGAGCTTCTGACTAACGAATTACTGATAAAAAAGAACGTGAAAGGAAACAACGCGCTGCACGAAGCTGCGAGGTTTGGGCAGGCGGGCGTGGCAGAGATCATGTTGAGGAAGAACGTTACTGTATGTTTCCAATACCTACATTTTGAAAGAACTGAATTCCCTCTAGTTGATAATTTAGATTATATTATACTGTTTGAACATGTGGACTTCCTGCAGATCTTATTTTAATAATTTGAATTGTTTATTTTATCGGATAGCTCGTATATATTATTCAAACAAAAAATTACATCGATTCAATTATCATAACTTACTTTTATTGTATTTCTAAAAAAAATGAATATTAATTGTGTTTTTAAAAATAAACGCTTCACTTTTATTTTATTTGTTTTGTAAAGTCACAATAAATTAAATATATTACAATTACTGGATCGATATAAATTTGTTGTGGATGATATATATAAAGGAGTTGACAAAATGAACGATTCAAATCATTAAAATATGACTTGTAATAATTTTTTGATAAATTAAATCACCAACAATCTCTATTTTTCTTATTTTTAAAGAAAGTATAAATGATTGTGATAAATTTTAGTAGATAAAAGTGTACTTATTCGATGAATATGTACATGCAAACAATGGGTGGGGGCATCAGTCTGCTGGTTGCCCAACCCAATTGGACTAATATTTTTGACTAGTTTACTTTTGGGTTAGACTTAGAATTTAAGTTTGTAATCCGAGCTAATTTGCTTTGATAATCAATTATTTATTTTATTTTTATTTATTCAATTAAAAAGTTATATATATTAATAAAAAAACTAATAGAGATTACCCAACTTTTGTTAGATGTTTCTCCATAACCCCCAACATCTTTTCTTATTCATTTTTAGTGACCTTTTTAATTACAATTGGTCTATGAATGTAATTTCATTATTGGAGTAGAATTGACCCTATGAGCTTCAGTTTAGATTTGGGTTTGGGATGATTATATAAACTTGATATAGTAGTTGGGCTAGACTTCAATAGATACAATGCCTTTCATGTGGAAAAATTATTCGATACTAACATCATATTGGCATGTCACTTACTAATCGTTTTCAAACATTGATATAAAGTGATGAATTCTACTACATAATAATCGATCTCACTTAATTGAGATACAAAACTTAGTTTTGTTTAATTTGAAATTAAGAAATGTGAAGGACATGTAAAAGACAATTGACTAAGTTGAAGTTTTTTTCTAATATATTTTTTTAATTTTTTATATTTTAAAATGTATGTTTTTGTGAAATAGATTTGGCAATTAGGATATTGGAATCATACCCAAACCTTGCTCGGCAACGTGATGAAAAGGGAATGACAGCATTGAATTTGTTGGTGACAAAACCAACTTCTTTCAAAAGCAGATCATAATATGTACTTTATGATCTAAGCAGGACATCCTTCATTCCTTGGCAGATTGTTAAAGCTATAATCTATTTTTGTAAGTATATACACCATTATACCTGCAATTTAGTTAAAACATTAATTATCTTTTTTTTTTTAAATATGCTTTTACAAAGTTCTTCCAATTCCATTTTTATAATAAAAACAAATGACTAATGAAAACGTAAATTGATAAAGATTTCCACTTCTAAATTCCCCCCCTCCCTCAGTTGAACCAATCATGGAGCATGGATTCTCATTTTGTTTTAGAGACAAAAATTTAGACAAAAGATGGAATTTTTGTTGCCAAAAATGTGTATTTTTAGTGACAAAATTAGATATTTAGTGATGAATTACTTCATTTTTGGAATCAAAATTTGTCTTAAAAAATAAATATTTTTTGCACTAAATTATTTTGTCTCTGCATTTATTAGCGACGTTTTCTTATTTATTGCAGTGGCCATAACTAAATATAAAAAATATATTTTTTAAAAATTTCTAAAAAATATTTTTAATGCAATTTACAAGGAGGGTAGAAACTAAAATTAATCCCTGGTGATGAACCAATGTTTAACCCTGATGAACTTAATCCCTGGTGATGAAAATCCACCCAAAAGTTAGCCTTGATGATCGATATAGATGGAACCTCCTGTAGCACCATCTTGTAGGAAATCACATAAATATTCTAAGCACAAATATAAATTCAAATATTCTAATAAATACAAAAAGAATTATTCACCCTCCAAATCTAATGATAAATTTTATACTAAACCCAAAAAGAAATATTACAAAAAATCACATCCAAAATCTAAATCTAATAAAGATATAACATGTTATAACTGTGGACAAAAAGGTCATTATTCTAATAAATATAAATAAAAACAAAAATTAAAAGACAAGGTGAATCAATTACAAATAAATGATGAATCTAAGACTCAAATATTTGAAATCTTTCAATTAAACCAATCTATTAGTAATTCCTCTTCTGATAATCCAGAAACTTTCTCTGACGATAATTCACCCAGTACTGATTCTGATAATAATAATATAACATTAGGATGTAATGATGTCTGCTGTAAACCAGTTAAGCAAATTATTGTTCTTACAAAACAAAATCAAGAAGAATCAGCTCTAATTGAATTAATTAGAAAGTTAGATGATCCCAATTTAAAACAAAAATACATTGATAAATTAAAATCTTTATTAATTCATTCAGATAATAAACCTAAGTTTGATAAACCTATTATTAGTTTATCTAAGACTTTAGAAAGATTTAAAAACAAAAATAAGGACATTACACTTCAAGATTTACAATCTGAAATCAACCAAATTAAACAAACTATCAGAAACTTACAACAAAAAGATAAAAATTTAGAAGATGAAATTATTACTCTAAAACTTAATCAAAGTTTAGATAATTTCCAACCTAATCCAAATACATCACCTAATGCATTTGGAAATAATTATGAACATGATTCTGATCATACTAATCCAGATAAATTCTTATTTGATAATCGATCTCATCAATCTAATAATCTTGAAGAAAAACGATTAAATCTAATCAATAAAATTTATATCCAAAAATGGTATTCAAAAATTAAAATCGTTGTTGAAGATTTTAAATTAGAATTAATTGTTTTAATCGATACTGGTGCTAATTTAAATTGTATACAAGAAGGATTACTTCCTACTAAATATTACGAAAAATGTCATGAGAAATTAACTTCAGCTAATGGTAGTCAAATGTATATTCAATATAAATTACCTAAAGTTCATATTTGTCAAGATCATGTATATTTTAAAACTTCATTTGTTTTAGTGACAAATATGACTGATAAAATTATTTTAGGAACACCATTTATCTATTTATTATATCCATTTACTACATCTAGTAAAGGTATCACTACTCATGTTTTAGGCCAACCTGTTACATTTAAATTTTTATCTCCACCTGAAATGCTAGAATTAAATCAATTAAAAGATTGTTCTATTTCTCATGCTATTAACCGATTAACTCGACATTTAAATTTTCTTATAGAAGAAATTAATTATAAGCGTATTGACTAACAATTAACTGATCCCGTTCTTATTTCTCAAATTAATGATTTTAAATTAAAATTAGAATCAACTGTTTGTTCAACTTTACCTATTGCATTTTGGCATAGGAAAAAACATGTAGTAACTTTGTCTTATATTAAAAATGTTAATGAAAGACAAATTCCTACTAAATCTAGACCTATCCAAATGAATCATGACTTACTTGAAATGGGTAAAAAAGAAATAAATGAATTATTGAAAAATCGAATAATTAGTCCAAGTAAATCACCCTGGTCTTGTCCTGCTTTTTATGTCAATAAAAATGCTGAATTAGAACGAGGTGTCCCTCGCTTAGTTATCAATTATAAACCATTAAATGCTGTTTTAGAATGGATTCGATATCCTATTCCTAATAAAAAAAATTTGATTAAAAGACTTAGTCAAGCTGCTATTTTTAGTAAATTTGATTTAAAAAGTGGTTTTTGACAAATTCAAATTCATCCTAAAGATAGATACAAAACTACTTTTAATACACCCTTTGGTCAATATGAATGGAATGTCATGCCCTTTGGAGTAAAAAATGCTCCTAGTGAATCAAAATATAATGAATGACACATTCAACCCATGTAGTCATTTTTCTATTGTTTATATTGATGACATCCTGATTTTTTCCAAATCAATCCATGACCATTGAAAACATTTAACTGCATTCTTGTATATAATTAAAAGTCATGGTTTAGTTATATATAATATAAGGCAAGCGCATGGGTTGCCGTTGTGATGACAAACAAATTATATTTACCCAGCTAATTGCACGCATGGGTTGCGTGCAGACACGTGCTCTGCCGCTGATGTCTGCTACATCACCGCGCCTTCAGAAAATTAGCCTGTGCGTTCTGGTTCTGGATGTTTAGATCATAAAAAAAATTGTAAATTATTATTTTGTAACTATTTTAAGTGTAATAAAATTTGGGCCTTATCTTTAGTGTCCACTTTTTTCATAGTTTGGATGAGTCGCTTACTGATGGGCCTATCTCTAATGGGCTGCTGCGCCATATGTCTGGGCCTTTCTGTAATGGGCTGTTGTGCCACATGTCTGGGCCTATTTTAAAATAACTAATAAACATTAAATGGGCCTCATTGTTGTAATTGGGCCGTCAATCTGTTTACCAATTACAGCCCATTTATCCAGCTTAAACCCGCTCAGAAATAGAATTTACTAAGACACATAAATTCAATAAAATTGTATTTTTTATTTAATCATAAAAATTTACATAAATATTTTTTCATCGCCAATCTTTTACATAATATGAAAACTCGTCGAGTACAATGGTCATTGCGAGACAATAATTTACAGGGCTAATAATCCCAAAGCTGGATAATTTGTTCGTCATCCTGCGTGCAATAAGCTGGGTAAATACAGTCTCCGACAGGCTTCTGCGACCACTGGAAGTCAGCCATGTATACATTGTTGCTGTAAACGTCCGGATTCCCAATGCTTTCCGGAGGTTGTAGTTGAATAGGCCTTGTATCTTGTAGACCCCCTGATTGCCCGGTCTAGAGAGGTTTACTGCTTTGAACCACATCGGGTTCTTCAAAGTATCGTAAAAGACCCCTGACAGCGTCCTCTCTTTCCAATGTATGTGGTTCGACGCATCCGTTCATATGGAATATCGAACAGCCGCATTGGAAGTGGAATATCTTCCTGCGTTGGGCCTTCTTCTTGGCATTACGATGCCTCTTCTTGACTGGTTCTGGCGAACAGGGGCTCATTGACTGTATAGAATTCTGCGTTTCGGATCGTCCACGCTTTGAGCTCGGCGTGTTCATGTTTTTCCAAAAACTCTTTGTAACTGGAGTCAGCTCCGGGGTTGCATAATATAATACTTGGAATCCCGCCCGTTATTTTCTTTGGGCGGGCATATTTACAATTTGAAAAAAAATCCCGTTGCGCTCCAATAAACTCGCACCAATGTTTCAAAAATTGTGGGGCCACATCATCGATTATGTTGTAGAAAGTGTCGTCCTTGTGGTCCCTCAGGTCCATGTGGCCAGAAAAATAATTATGTGGTCCCAAAGACTGGGTCCAACATGTTTTCCCAATTCTAGATGGGCCTTCAATTATAATGCTCTTGGGCCTGTGCGGTCTTTGGGCTTCGTCTCTTATATTGTCTGCAACCCATTGCTGTATTGCTGTTGGCATGATCCATACTGTGTCTGTAAATAGATGAACATACGGCAATGGTGGATTAAATGAAATCCGGTCATAATTTGATGACAGCTTGTCATAATTTAACCAGAAACATTTTGGGTCGCCATTTCGTACCACTGCTAGTGCTTCGTCCATGGTGCCGACTGCAAGTGCATCCCGATATATATTGTCTTTGTTATTCTGGTTAGCGCAGCGGCTCCTCTCACGGAATTCACCCCATTCCGTGTAATCCCCGTGTTTGGAGATGTATTCCAGCACATTCTGTTGGTTGTATGCCCCTTGTACATTCGGATGGAAATGGCGACTGGTTCGATCGTGAGTAACGTCGAAGAACCGTTCATTCTGCGTCTGAAAACGGTATGGAAATTGAACAAGGGCATGGAGATGTGGTTGCCCATCCTCGTGTAATTCATGTGCGACCCTCACATAATTTGATGGCCTGGTTGTGAACAGCGATCTAATTTTCTCTAACAATCGCTCTTTAGGTATATAACATTGGGCATATGTGAGGAAGATGTTCTTGTTTTGGACTCTAAAACGACATCGCATTGATACCATAACTCACTCTCGATGACGTCACTTACTCACTCGGATGACGCAAGTCACTCTCTGAAAAACTTTACTGTTGGAAGAGAGTTAGAGAGTGAGTTATATAGGTGCCCCGGAGCGTCCCACTAATATTACCTGGGACGCTCTCCCCGCGCCACGTGTCGTCCCCCGATTGGTGCTCCCTTCCGCATTTTGTGGCGTGTTGTCGGCTAGGGCTTCCACTCCGCGCCCAGATCTGCGGCCAGGATTAAGTATCTAAAAAGGCAAGCGCCACTCCCCGATCTGCGGCCAGGATTAAAAATCTAAAAAGGCAAGCGCAGGTGGCAAATTATATAAGCCAAAATAATTGGGGGAGTTTGAATTATTTTGCAAATGGATAGCGGAGATCTAGGCCAATTT